CTTTTTGATATAATAGGAAAAAGAATGAAAAAAAGAGAGTGTTAATCTACAATACTGATAAAACATATGATAATGATTGTTTTTATCAAATCATCATTATTACTCAAAGTTATTGAAATTTTTTCAAACGTCATTCACTCTAATTGCGTTTATATACGGTTATCGATAAGAATCTAATTTTGTTTATCCTTATCGATATGATATACCCTCTCAGAGTGTATAAAGCGACTGAATCAATACACTTTTTGTCATTATGGTTTTTACCAACATGAATGCTCTAAGTGTGGTACTTGTATTCTGCCTTGCAGTCACTGCATATGGTAAGTAAGCATTGAATTTAAATTACGTATTCTATTTTATATACTTGTGTCCCTTTATTTAAATATACGTAGAATTCTTTATATTTATTAAATAAATCAAAATTAACCGATTTAATCGATTGACAAATAGTGTTTAATTAATAATATAAATAAAAATCAATGAAAAGTGAATAAAAGTTCGTGCAAAAATGAAAATCTCTTAGAAATTTGAATAATTTGTTTTTTACTGACACTAAATGAGATTTTTTTGATTGATTTTTACTTTCTCGAAACTTTGTCGCGTGATTAAATAAAATTTTATGCATGGAGTTCACATGAAATTATAAGAAACTATACTATAATTTTATTGGAATAGGCTTCCCTGAAAGTAAAATTGTTGGTGGAAAAGATGCTCCAGCTGGCAAGTTCCCCTACCAAGTATCTCTGAGGAAGAATAAAAGTCATTTTTGCGGTGGATCCATCATCGATTCGCGTACCATTCTCACAGCAGCACATTGTGTTGAGGGGTAAGTTTCACTGAAACACAATAACGAATAATAAATTTCTATTATAAATTTATTATTATCCTTAAATAGAATTTTACTTAACTCGAATAAAATTAGATATCTCTCGCTGATAAATGCTAATAAATGCTGATAAATCAATGAAACACATTTATTCTACAGATTGAGTAATTTGAATGGCATCACTGTCCAAGCTGGAACAACTCAACTCAACTCAGGTGGAGTATCTTACTTGCCGCAGAAAGTGGTTGCCCATAGCGGTTTCAACTCGCTCAGTCTCGTTAACGACATTGCTTTGATTCGTCTGAATCAAGATATCTCATTCAACAATTTGGTCCAACCGATCAAATTGGCTTCGGGTAGCAATACTTATGAAGGATCATCCTGCGTTCTATCCGGTTGGGGAACTACTAAAGTAAGTGAAAAGATTATTAGTTATTTATTTTGTAAGGATTAACATTTTTATTTCTATTCTATTATTCTATTATTAATTCGTTATTTTAATCGTTTAATCATATGAAACTCGTATAAAAATATCGTTCAACATATATTCTAATTACAGCTAAATGGAAATGTGCCAAATAATTTGCAATACATTAACCTGCTTATCGAGAAACAATCAGAATGCAAGAAAGTTCACTGGAGAGTACAATCTTCTCACATCTGCACATTCACGAAATACGGAGAAGGTGCTTGCCACGTGAGTATAATTATTATGTTTTATGTACATATATTTTTTTTACAAAATATATATATATATAGTTTTTCTATTATTAATATTAAATTAAATTATATACCATAAATTATATATTTTTCATTCTGAGACTCCATTCATTCTTCTTATTTCAATTTTTATAATTGAAGTCAAGTTAAAGCTTCAAAAATTATTAGAAAAATACTTAGCTTTATAGATGATATAATATAATAGAACTCTTATTAAATATTCGATTATTTATAATTCAAACTTCGGTTCGAGCTTTTGATTTATAATTATTTTTTTTCTTTCAAATTTCAGGGTGATTCTGGTGGTCCTCTCGTTGTCAATAATTTACAAGTCGGTATTGTTTCCTTTGGACAACCTTGTGCTGTAGGAAAACCTGACGTATACACAAGAGTATCTTCTTTCTCATCATGGATCCAACAACATAAATCTTTCCTCACAGAGGAAAAGGGTGAAGCACCAGCAGACGGTTTCTACATTTCTTAAATATAATTTATCGATAATTGATAATTGAATGTTGATCAAAAAATCATCTTCCATTATCAATTATTGTATATAATAAAAATTGTATATAATTAAATGTCATTAATTTTGTGATATACAATAAAATGTAATTATTTTTTTTTAATATTTTATAAAATAAAATTAATTCTGCTCAATAAAGTTTTTAATATATTAATTATTTCTTATATGTAGTAAGGAATATTCATCTATAAATATTATTAATATTATAATATAATTAGATATTCTAAAATATTGATATTCAAAAAAAGATAGAAAAAGAAGATAAGTAATAAAAATGAATTATTATTTAAATATGATAATTTTATATGAATAGAACTTATATATATTTTTTTTTATAAAGTTGGTATTTGAGAACAATCTAATTATACCGCGTATTCTTCATAGTAGTGACATCTATCAATGGCATAAAAAATTATTCTATCTGTTTCTATACCTTATATCATTCAATTATATTAAAAATCAATTTACACATGATAAATATTATAAATAGATTAAATTATCAAATTATAAGAAGAATTTATGATAAAATTTAGGACAGATCATATAATCCTTGTTATGATTTTTATAATATATATGATATTATTGATTCAGAGAAGAATGAAATAGTAATACTATGTATCTGTATTATTATTCTTATTTCATATGCAATATTATCCATATTTAATATTATTCTAAAAGTACTTATAAATAATCTTATTTATTTAATTATATTTTATCATATAAAATTTTTCTATGAATCACCATTTACATATACTACTATTTAAAATAATTCATCTAATTAAATTAACCTTAATTTTACCGATAATACTTATAATAATTATAAATAACTATTATATTTCATATGGATAAAGAAAATGCGAAAAAGAAAGTTCAGATATTTAACTTTGGCTAGAATAAAAAAATACGTACTTACTTATCAAAAAATAAAAACTTCATTATTTAAAACGAACGAGTTTAGAAATGACAGCACTACTTTGAAAGAAACAAGGAGAGCAAATAATGAAAAAAGGATAGAGATAGGCATAAAGGTCCTTGTGGCGCCATCTCCAGAACCGCAAATGAAACACAAAAAAGGATAGCAAATAAAAAATAAAGGATAGAGATAGGCATAAAGGTCCTTGTGGCGCCATCTTCAGAACCACAAATGAAACACAAAAAAGGATAGCAAATAATAAGTAAAGGATAGAGATAGGCATAAAGGTCCTTGTGGCGCCATCTCCAGAACCGCAAATGAAACACAAAAAAGGATAGCAAATAATAAGTAAAGGATAGAGATAGGCATAAAGGTCCTTGTGGCGCCATCTCCAGAACCGCAAATGAAACACAAAAAAGGATAGCAAATAATAAGTAAAGGATAGAGATAGGTATAAAGGTCCTTGTGGTGCCATCTTCAGAACCGCAAATGAAACACAAAAAAGGATAGCAAATAAAAAGTAAAGGATAGAGATAGGCAT